ACATGGGGCTCAAACTCACGAACTGTGAGATCATGACCTGAGCCAAAATCAAGAGTCGGACGCTTAACTGACTGAGCCACCCAGGTGCCCCAATTTCCTGAGCTCTTAATTGCTGTGAGTTGTAGTTTTCAGTTCTAGAAGCTCTTTTTTTTTTATTCTATGATGCCCTTTAAAAAAATGTGGTGGATTCTTAAAAGTTTCCAGTCCTCTGTGGAAATTCTCAGTTTATCTTTTAGCTCTTTGAACATGTTACCGTTAAAATCTGTGTTTGATAACCCCTCTTGCTGGAGTGCTTGCAGATATTACCCATTGTCGGTTTTATTCTGTTGGTCTCAGTTCTTGTTGTGTTGCCCCCTCGTGTGGCAGGTTATAATTTATTGTGTGCTGGACAGTGTACTTGAAACACTAGATGAACGTGTTTATGGCCCACATGATGTTGTCTTCCTCGAGAGGAGATTTTGTTTGCTTCGGCCAGGAGCTGGGGCACTAGCGATTTGGATCGTATTACTTCTACTAAAGGGAATCAGGCTGTCAAAAGCCTTCCTCCAACATCTCGGTTGCCTTAGCTTTCTCTTCAGGATCAGCAAACACGCCCAGGACACAAGTTGCCCTAAATGCTACGCTCATCTCTCCAGATTTCCATCTTCTTGTTGCTAATTCCTAGTAATTCCCAGGAGTTTTTCATTACTTTAACTCCCTGATGTGTTAATCAATTTGCAAAATATATTGTCCAACTTTTTTTTTTTTTAATTTTATTGTTAACAGGTTGGTGTTCTTCCTGGTTCGCATTTTTATTTTTTTTTTAATCATTTTTATTTATTTTTGAGATAGAGAGAGGCAGATCATGAGCACGGGAGGGGCAGAGAGAGAGGGAGACACAGAATCCAAAGCAGGCTCCAGGCTCTGAGCTGTCAGCACAGAGCCCAACGCGGAGCTCGAACTCACGGACCGTGAGATCATGACCTGAGCCGAAGTCGGACGCCCAACCAACTGAGCCACCCAGGCGCCCCATTGTCCAACTTTTTTAGTTACTTTCTGTAGAGAGTTTTACCCCAAATTATCTGCTACACTGTTATCAGAAGAGGAAATCCTCAGGGGCACCTGGATGACTCAGTCGGTTAAGCATCTGACTCCTGATTTTGGCTCAGGTCGCGATCTGACAGTTCGTGGGTTGGAGCCTCGCATCAGGCTCTGCACTGGCAGCACGGAGCCTGCTTGGCGTTCTTTCTCTCTCTCCTTCTCTCTGCCCCTCCCCTGCTCACACTCTCTAACTCTCAAAATAAATAAACACGATAAAAAGAGGCAATCCTCCTTATCTTTTTATTTTCCACCGTACATTATTTGTGAGCATCCCCCCCATGTGTTTAAGAATTTTTGAATGTACGCTTTTTCTTTTTTTGAAAGAAAGAGCAACTGGAGGAGAAGGGTGGGGCGGGGGGGGTGTGGAGAGAGAGAGAGACGGGGTCGGGGGGTTGGGGGAGGGAGGGAGAGAATCTCAAGCAGGGTCCCTGCTCAGAGTGGAGCCCGATGCAAGGCTCCATCACATGACCCTGGGATCACGACCTGAGCCAAAACCAAGAGCTGGGCACTCAACCAACTGAGCCACCAGGCACCCCTGAACATCCCCTCTTGCATCCTGGATAGTCTTCGATCAAAAGGCCAAGCCGTGACTTATTTAGCTGTTTTATCTTCCGGTGGATGTTGTGGGTTGTCTGTCTTTCTGGGGCTCAGGGTTACCCATGACAAATGATGGAGTCCCCCGCAGGTACTTTCAGCGGGAAGGGGTTTCTTGCAGAGCGTTTGGCAGTGGACGCTATCTTTGCAAGAGCCAGAGGGTCCGCTGGGGGGCCACCCAGCCAGGAACAACGGCAGACGGAGAAAGTTCCTTGTCCTAAGGGGACAAACCCTCGTGGCCCACCTACCGCTTGCTGGCCAGGGCCCCGCAGACCAGCCGGAACCTGCTCCTGGGCTGTCTGCCAAGAACCGAACGTCACCACCGCCGTGTCCATCCTCAACGCGATTTGCTTACCATCACGTGAGGCGCCTCTCCTTGACAGAACCGAGCCACCCCCAGAACCCAGTACAGATGGAGTTTGCTCAGCAGTAGAGGAAGGCATGCTAGAAAGCTTGGGAGATGCGTTTAGCAAGCCAGTCCTCCTCGGACTCGGCACCTCTGCATTGCAACCCGACGCTTTCAAGAGCAACCATCTTCCCGGCCCCCCCCCCCCCCCCCCGGCCGCCACCCAACCCCCACCGCCCCCGGGTGTGTCTTTCCCCGGGCTCTCTTTCCCATCCTTTGGAGAATGTCTCACACAGGGTATAAGCCACCTGACTTGGCTGAGAAAGCAGGATCCTCTGTAATCGATAGCAGTGTGGACATCACCAGAACCATTACTCCTTTTGGCCTTTATGAGGAAGCAAAACCAGGTGAGAGAGCAGTGAGCTGAGCAGGAAAAAGAACCACGAGACACGAAGTCGCTCTCACATTTAGGGGTCCAAGGGGCTATGGGAAACTGTTGCTGGGAAGGAGATGTTCTATCCCTCCTCTGCCCCCCATTGTCATGTGCAGAAAAGGTGTCCTATAAAGGTTGATGTTGTTCTATACTCGGATGTCTCCCCAGACACAGGCCTGTTAGGACATGGGATGGTCTCATGTAGTGTGGCATTCCTTGAATGGTGGTCCACAGATGTATTCTCAGGGGTCGGCAAGTTCTCGGCAAGAAGTAAAACCCCGCGAGTTTCTAGGTCTATCGTGATCAAAACCAATAGGAGACATTTAAATCACGTTATAGTTTAGGATTCTCGCACTTTTTTTGTTAAGTTATGAAATGTTTCATAATACAAAGGTATACGTAACATGAATGTTAGTAATGAGCTATAAAAATAAAATGAGCACCTGTGAACTCACCACCCAAATTATGAGCCAGACCATCATGGATGTCATTGAACTTGGCCCCCTGCTTCTCCTTATTCTCCCGTGTTAAAGCAAAATACACAATGGAGACGAGCAGACGAAACCATGTAAGCCACATAAACAAAACGAGATCTAGCTCATTCCATGAACGTAAGTACAAAAACGTCTTATTCTTATAGATGTCTCTGAGAAACCATTAAAGAAATTTAAGCCCATTTCCTAAAATTATAGGAAATAATCCCTTTTAACCAATCCCCTGCCGTCTAGAAACCCCCATTCTGATCCCCAATCATTATCGAGGTCAAAAAAGTTCATTTTCACTCAACGCTTACTAAATACCGTTTTACTGAGCCGGGTTGAATTGTTGCTGTTCTGGATCGTTGAAACCTGCTTCCCGGAACCAACCAACCCCTCTCCTCAATTTGTTTTGTATCTGCTTACTTCGTCAAGTTTTACCACAACCTACGTGCCTCTAAAAGACACATGGTTATTTAGTTTTGGTTATTTCCACCTTTAAAAACTTAAAAAAAAATGGTCACATGTGCTCCACATTCTTCTGGGGCTTTCTTTTCCCTCCAAATGGTGTTCCTGAGATTTATGTTCATTGCCCTGCTGTGTGGGACCCCATTACGTGACTAGTCCACAAAGCCTCCGTCCTCCCTCCTGTTAGGGCTCAGCTTCGCGCTGGGTCTTGTGTTGGTCTTAGGAACCATGCCGCCTCCAGGGCTTGAGGCTGTCTTCCAAAGCGCTCATGCCTGGTTCGTCCAGGGCCCTGGCCCACGAGTGGAATGGATGCGTCGTCGGGTACCTGAATCTGCAGCGTTACGAGAGAACGTCGAACTTTTCCACAGTGGTCATCCTGCTCCATGATTTTAGGGCTGGTAGAAGCCGAAAGACTCACCTGAGTTTACACAGATGAAAAATGGAAGCGTCGGAAGCCAGGTCCGACTAGAAGGCCCAGGCTCACTTCTGCACTCAATTGGTTGGACCACTGATCAAAAGTAGCGGCTAACACAACAGGCCAGGCGGGGGCCAGGGGCACTTTTTATCTAAGGACGCACAGATATCCTATGAGAGAGGCACTATTGGCACTCTGCCCATTCAGAGGAAGAAATTGAGGCAGGAAGACCTTATAAACTTGCCCAAGGTCACACAGAGCTGCGACTTGAACCCAGGCAGGGTACCAGCAGTGGTTGCCTTCTTGTGCCCTTCTTCAGGGCTCCTGAAGAAATAGAAAAAGGTCTAGGTCACAGGGCATGCCCTTGAGATCACTCGAGGAACCGCATTCATTCACTCATTCACTCATTCAGCACCTACCGCGAACCAGCACACGGGCCGTGTTTGGGATACAGACGTAAATGACACAGGCCCAGTTCCGTCCCACAAGTATGGGTGAAACAGACAAATAATCACACAAACGGATATAACATGTTAGGAAAGAACAGTAAAGGAACGAATTTATTATAATTTTTTTCAAGTTTATTTTTATTTATTTTGAGAGATAGAGAGCAAGCAGGGGAGGGGCAAAGAGAGAGAGAGAGCAAGAGAATCCCAAGCAGGCTCTGTGCTGTCAGCACTGAGGTCGACATGGGGTTCAAACTCACACGGTGAGATCACCACCTGAGCCGAAATCAAGAGTTGGGCGCTTAACCGACGGAGCCACCCAGGCGCCCCAAAGGGACTAATTTAGATTCTTCTCCAAAGAAGTAATGACCTGGCATTAAAGCTGAGACATAAAGCACCTGTAAAAGCCAAGGGACGCGTGTGCACAGGTGCGTGTGCGTGTGTGCGGGTGTGTGTGCATGGAGCGACTGCAAGGTCAGAAGCACAGCAATGACAGGTCAGATGAGCATTCTTTAAAAAGGGGGCCGTGTCCCTTTAGGAAGGAGAAGGCGGTGGGGGGGGGAGGGTGGGCAGCAGAGGATGGGACGGCTCCTCAGTGGCTGCGCAGGGGACAGAGGAGCTGTGGTCGGGAGGGGAGAGTGAGGGGAGCCTTCAGGGCCCACTGTGGAGGGGGCTCGGTGTACCCGGGAGCCGCAGGTGTGGGGCGGGCAGGATGGGGGAAGGGCCAGGCCTTAGCAGGTACCGAAACGGAGGGTGGTGGGATTGGGAGACCAGCTGGGAGGCACCACTGTGGACACGCTCCGTTTGAACACTCCCCGAGGCGTCCACGCGCAGGAACCCTGAAGGCACTTGGGCGTGTGAGTCAGGAGCTCGGAGGACATGAGGTGTGGCCACCGGACACGGCGGGCGTGCAGAGGTGCGGGGGGGCCGAGTGCCCTGTGGAGAGGGTGCCCAAGGAGCCTGGCGACAGGAGGTGCAGCTGCCCCCCTCTCTCCTCCCCCTGACCCCCACCAAGCCCTCACTCCACTCCCAGGCTTTTGCAGAGAAAGAAACTGAGGTCATCCTGAGCCGGAGTCATCTGGGGGAGGCCATACACCCTGAAACTCTCCAGTTGGGTTCAAGACCCAGACTCCCAGACCTCCTGCCAGCTGGGGGGGGGGGTGCCTTCCCCGCCTCGCCAGGCCCGGTGAGCCGTGCCCCAAGCGTGGCACCAAAAGGCTTGGGGTGAGGAAACTGCAGGCCCGCACGTGGGGGAGCAGGAGGCCAGAGGGGAGGCGCTGACGGGTGCTGGCGTTGGGGACGCCCATGTCACCCCCCAAGCCGTCGAAGGTGGAGACGGCCAGGGAGGCACAGAACCAGAACCACGGCTGCAGGAGGCGGTGGTAGTGCCTGGGCCCGGGTGGGGGGCTGCGGGCAGGGCACCGGGGAGGTGGGGGCACCCCAGAGCCTCCAGGAATGTGCCCGGGGACACTGTGCCTCCGGAGCGCACAACCTCTGGGGCCTCGGCACTGGCAGCGGGCCCGCCGTCTGAGGAGGGCACTGGTGTGGAAGCGTTTTCATGTTTTTTAAATACATAATCTGGGATTAGATGCCCATTCACATGACCTTTGTCCGCTCTTGCCTGCAGCCACTTCAGGGTGAGTTAATAAATACCGGAGGAAACCGAGGGGCCGGGAGGCCTCGGTGAAGGCTCTGCGGGAAGAGCGTTCCCCTGAGCAGGGGACTTTGTGTCCGGGGGGTCCCGTTTGCCCCAGACGCTCCCGGCTTCCCTCTGCTGACGGCACCCCATTCCCTTCCGAAGTCCCAGTCGCGAGGCTAAGTCAGACAGTCACCACCCATCACCTGTGATGTCAGCAGCCATCTGGCCGATGCTGCTGCAGCCAATGCTGTTTTCTGCAAGAGCTTCTGTCGAACCGTCGGAAAGCTGGGGACCAAACCACCCGTCGTGTTTCAAGGCAAGTGCTCTGCAGTGGTTCTCCAGCTGCGATCCCAGACCAAGCAGCGCTGGCATCACCGGGGACCCTGTTAGAAACGCACCCTCCCGGGCCCCCCTTCAGTCCTACAGAACCTGCTGCTCTGGGGGTGGCGCCTGGCCGTCTGCTTCCCAAGGTTTCCACCTTGGGAAGCTCGGACAGGTTCAGGGGGTCCTGGAATCTTCTACGATTGAGTGCAAGCCTGAGTGGAAGTGTGTACTTTCTGGACAGATGATCATTCAGACCCAGAGCCAAGTGCTGCACATTGCAGCAGGTCTCTGTGCCCCCCGCCCCACAGCTGTGGCCGTGACCCTCTTCGAGATGGGGAGGACTCACTGGCAGCCCTGGGAAGGGCAGGGCAATGGCACCAGGGGTTAGAGACCCAAATATGTAAAGCCGTGCTGCCTGCCTTGCCTGACGGGCGGTCTGTCCCCTGGGGGTTTTCCACATTGGCTAACGGGACGATGGACGGAACATGCAGGCCTGTGGGGGTGGCTCCGTCCGCGGTTACTTCCCTCCTGACCACGGGAGGCAGGGCAGGGGTGTCTGCAGCACCTACTCGACCCACCGACCCATCGGCAGCTTCACTGACATCACCCCAATTAACCCTCACAGCCCCTCCGTGAAGTCGTTCTTGTTCCATGTTACAAATGGAACCACCAGGGGCGCCTGGGGGGGCTCAGTCGGTTAAGCGTCCGACTTCAGCTCAGGTCATGGATCTCCTGGTCTGTGAGTTCAAGCCCTGCGTCAGGCTCTGTGCTGACGGCTCGGAGCCTGGAGCCTGCGTCGGATTCTGTGTCTCCCTCTTTCTGCCCCTCCCCTGCTTGCTGTCTCTCTCTCTCTCTCTCTCAAAAATAATAAACATTAAAAAAAAAAAAAAAATAGGAACCACCAGGGCAGGAAGAGTAGTGACTTGTGGGGGCTGGGGATGGGGTGGCTGGGACTTGAGCCCAGGTATTTTTGGTTGCGTTCACCATGCTGTCACATGTCAAACAGGGGTAGGAGGTGGTGGGCCACAGGGAGAGGGGCTCAGAGTCATGGGGTGGCGGTAACTGAGATGCATCATGGGCACAATGGAAAACTCAATCTTGCTTTAGTAAAAGTAAAGGAAGGCTTCGAAAAAGTGGATTGGTTCCAGCTCTGTACTGACAGCTCAGAGCCTGGAGCCTGCTTCCGATTCTGCCCCTCCCCTGCTCACGCGCTCTCTCTCTCAAAAACAAACATTAAAACCCCCTTTTTTTTTAACCCCAAAAAGTGGATTGGTGCCCTTGGTGTCCTAGACCTGTTCCTCCTAAGCCTGTGGTCCTGTCAGCTGTCAGGGGACCCTCTCCATGTCCTTCCCTGAGGTCCAGACTGCTCACAACAGCCCCCAGGGCGGGAGGGGGGGGGCACGCCCCCTGGAGTGTGACTTGTGTATGTGTTAGAGGAAGCTCCCCTGATGGAATCCTCTCCAAGTTCCCACAAGTGTGGCCACATTCTGGCTTTGGGACACGGTGCAAGCGATCTACAGGGCCCGGAGAGGAAAGAGACTGCTCTCATCAAGAAACTGAATTAAGATTCATTTATTCTAGGGCAAACTCAAAAGGGTTTTTTTTGTTTGTTTTCTTTTTTAGCAAATCCTAGCACATTATTAACAAAAAAAATCTGTACATTTGCCATGATACACTTGAGAGTGAAACAAATAAGATATAAATACAGATATGGATGTAACATGAAAAGCCCCCCGAAAACGAAAACGAAACCCAAAAACCCAACCTGGGGGTGTGGGGACCATGCGTGTGAACACAGTGCCAACAAAACTATTTTGGTGGCTGCTAGTTTTCAGAGCGGTTTTTTTTTTTTTTTTTTCTATTTTCCAAATATCATTGTTAGCAAAGTCCTGGTGGGATTCTACAAAGTTCTTATTTGCTGTTCTTTCACGTGTAGTATTATGCTCGATAAATAAAGGGCGGCAGGGGAAAAAAACCAGACTGATGAGACCAAAATTGGTTGCATTACCTGCGCAGGGTAGGACAAGCCAGTGAGGAGCCACAGAGAGGCCGTCCTGGGCTGCCTGCGGCCCGCGCGGAAGCACACACAGTGGACTCGAACTTGAACAAAGCTGCGTGCCCGCGCCCACCGCAGCCTGCGGGGCGCACCGAGGCCTGCAGAGGGAGGGCACGGGGCGGGGCTCTTCGGGGGCCCCCCGGACTGTCGGGTAAACAGGGGAGGCAAACACGGTTTCGCAGTTTTGGGTGTTTCGTCCAAACAGGAGCCCTGCAGGGAGGCGGCGGCAAGGCGAGGCAGCTGTCGGGGCTCGGGGGGCGGCGGCGGGCGCGGCTCCCTCCCGGTGAGGTGGTGGCGGCGGCATGCGAGTCTCCCCGGTGGCGGTGCCGGCGTGGGCAGCAGTTCTGATTGAGGCCAAGAGACCTGTGATTGTATCCCTCTCTAGGTGGGGAGATTGAAGGTCGGGGAAGTGACATTCGAGGCTAGCCCTTTGTGAGTACAATGAGGACATTCGGCAATGTTCAAGCTTCTTCCCAGCTGCAGGGGGGGGGGGGGGAGGAGGCAGGGAGTCACAGAGTTCAAGGGGCAAGGTCTTTCCAAACGCATGAGGCATACAAGAACTCATAAATAACCTAGCAGAACGCACATTTCTACAACAGAGGAGTAATCAAAAGGTGCCCTGACTCACTTGTCGAGTGTAAAAAGGAAATCCCATTAGTGAGATATTAACAAACGTCATTTATCAATGAAAGTAAGGCCTGGTCCTGCTATGTTTTGAGCCAAAAATAAGTCAATAATATTCAACCACTTAAAATGCACCCCTGAAGTTCCTTCAACAGCAGCAGCGGGGTACTTCCCTCCAAGTGCAAGATACCCCCCCACACACACACACACTCGCGCACACACACACACACACACACACACACACACTCTCTCTCTCTCTCACTCTCTCTCTCAGTGAAGGCACCCTGGCTTCACTGTTCCTGGACCTTTGTTTTCAGTGCCTAGTTCCAAATAAAGTATCTAAAAATACCTTCTGAGTGAAAATGAGTTGTGTGTGCTACAGCGTTGCAACTTCCAAACGAGGCGGGAGGGTCAGAGATTGGGGGGCGGTCTGTAGGTGTCAGCGGGACCACCGCCCAGTCTCTGCTTCTGGGTGCTTCTGGCTGCAAGGGGGGTTCTGCATCAGAACAGCAAACACCTCATTACAAAGTAACACCAGAACAGGCATTTTCCTCAGGGAAAACCCAGTTCAATTTAGAGAGGATAGAAAGCTTCACGACTGCAACAAGAGTTTCCATTTCACTTGAAGAATTTTACTCAAAACTTATTTTAACCAGACTCTAATCTTTATAGTCCCTTTTATTGGAGAGTGAAACCCTTAAGAAAAATGTTTAGGAAGGGTAGTTTCTCTGGTAATTTCTCAGTGAAGAAACGTTAAAACTGGGTTTCAAATCTTGTTTTCCTGCAATGTGCCACTCACCATTGCTTTTTCCTCAAACAACTATTTCAACAGATGATCAAGGAAGTACTTCCGTCCATAAAATTAAAAAAAAGGATTCTGATACCTGGTCTCTCTAGATTTTCCTTCGATCCTAATCCCAAATGAAACCAAGAAGTCAAAACTGGGGTGGCAGAGTTATCATTCATCAGACTGGCCAGAACACTTCGAACTGAGCAGCTGAGGTGGAGGCTGGGGGACAGGAGAGGAGACGGTGCTGAATCGGAAAACCCTGACCAAGCAGCAGGGCCACAGGGGAGGCCCTGTTAACATAGTGTTTCCCCAACATCTGCGTAGTGAAATAAACACACACACCCCTTCTCTTGTATCTTCCAGGCTTCACGAAATGCCACTTTAGGCACTCCCCCTAAGGGATGCTATACATTTACCTGGACTTTTCTGTTTGGATTTAAACGGAAGAAACAATTCTTTCGAGTAGAAGCTCTGGGTGGGGATAGTGCGAGTGGAGGGTTCAGAGGCGCTGGGAGCCCGTCCTGGAAGGGGCCTGAGGAGGGGGCCCTGGGCCTCCAGTCCAGAAAGTGTACAAGCAAAATCCCACGTGTTTGTTAAAAGACGGTCTTCAGGCTTCTGTTTGTTTCTTGCCGGGATTTGACTCACGTTCTTAGTAGGTCTCACAATCCAACTGAAGGACGTACGACCCTTTCCTGGTGTCACAGGCCGTGTCCAGAAGAAGTAAGCGAAGATGAGATAGAAACACAAATTAACACACCCTCCTCAATGTTATGAACTAAGAGAAAATGCTACTTTCTACCACGTATTGGCTAGAGAGATCTGATTTGCGAAAACTGCACCCCACACACATGGTTTTATGATCTCAGCAGGCTGTACAAGACATGGGTAAGTATGGCTCTTTTCTTATTCCGCTTGTTTTGTACGAAGACTGCAAAACAGGCCTTGCTTCCTTTACATTCAATACCAGTAAGATTCTACACAAAAGCTGGAAGGGACCAAAATACTGATTGTAATAAATATCTGCGGGCCTCCGTGTACTGACTGGGCAGCCGATGGGGGGGTGGGGGGGGGCGGGGAAGGTCTCTGAGAGGCACCACCGATTGCTTCTAGGGCGACAGAAAGAGACTCTGGAGCTGCCATTAGCTGTGTGTGGACACGTCGGAGGAGGAGCTGCTGTTGCTGTTTGTGGTTTGGGCCCTCTTTATGTATAAGTTGAGTAGCTTCATCTGCAAAGAGAAGACGTGACAGATTAGCAGGAGGAAGGCAATCAGGGAGCAGGAGATGAAAAACCCCAGGTGACAATCAGAAGAGAGCACGTCCCTTCGTTGAGAAATTCAGGACACAAACACGGAGTGCCCACCACGCGTTCGGCACACACCTACCAGCGGGGAGGGCCACGACCACGACCACGGGAGGGGTCAGAGTCTGGGAGGGGAGGGGCAGTGGGTTCTCAAGAAAGAATGAAAGCGTCACTCTAAGCACTCTAAGCAGGGGCACAAGGGCTCCCTGGAAGCAGCTGTGTGAAGGGGCGACTGAGGCCCGTGGCTCCACGCGGTCTGGCGGGGAAAGAAGGGTGTGAGCCCAGCTCCACAGGGACGAGATCTGCTAGGCAAGGTACAGGTTGGGTCTTCTGACCTTCACCCCTCGGCTGCAGCTGTGCCCTCCACACGGACACCTCTCTCCTCCCCCTTCTGGGCCCACCAAAGTGCTGTGGCATCGGAGACCTATCCGGAAGGCCGCCTCCATGGCCTTCCCCCACCTGCTCATCAGCTCCTGTGGCTCGGGCACCTGCCTCGTGGAGTTGGCAGTGCACTCGCTTGCTCCTTCCCGTAAGATGAGAGCTCACTGAGGCCAATGGCGTGTCGTGAAGTCACATCACCTCGGATGGGCACAGCGCTTCATGACGAAAGAGGCTTTCATTTCTGAGATCTCCCATGCTTTTAACGTAAGCCCCCCTGGACCCTCCGGATATGCAGAACACCGTGTAACACTGTAGGTTCTTAAGTACTCGTTCTTAAATACTTGTCGAAATCATAACGCGTTATGTTGATAATTTGCCTGCTCACACTAAGAACCAAAAGAAACAAGTGTTTGTGGAAGCAGAATGCCCGTAAACGTCCACGTAACACACAACTTGCAAGATGAAGGGGACTGGGAAATACTTTCTATCCACGGCTCTTTACCTGCTTTCCTTGCTCTAAGCAGGCCACAAGGAGGCCGAGTCCAGGGGAGGAGAGGCTGGTCTCCGGGGGGACCCAGGAAGAGAGGCCCAGCGTGTGGTGCGTGGGCAAGCGGGCCCTCCAAGTGCCTTCCAGTGGGGGCTGGAACAGCAATGGCACAGAGCTACTGAGGGAGGCCAAGTCTCCCTGGCTGCTCACCCAGAGGTAGATGCACAGGCTGAAATAAACACTTGTGCTGTGTGTCTTCCCATAAAGGGAGAGCCATCCCTGGGGTAGCCACACACACGGTTCCAGAACCAACTCCACCGCCAACTGGTTGTGTGACTACAGGCAAAACATTTTCTGAGCCTCAGCTTCCCCTCCTGCAGTCCGCTCCCGCCTCCCTCCCTCTGCAGCTCAGCCCTGTGCTGCCAAGCCCCACCCCCGTTCAGTCCCAAGGGACCGTTCCACGCAACGGGCCCTCCTGGGCTGCTGGGCAGGCTTCCTTGTGGGTCAGTCCTGTCCTCGGACACATTTCATGCCACTCCAGGGCAGGACGAAGTTTTGCTTTTCCCACACGTCTTAGTGGTACAGTGAGGACAGCAAGTATTCCTAACACATACTTGTTGAATCAAAGATTTTTTTAAAGAAGAAAAAACGTTCTCCAAGGCAAGGTAGTTATATTTCTGTGAAAGCCGGATTAAAAATGAGGTGCAAACACCGTTATACTTATTTGCGATCAAAACCACTGACGTATCCACCAGTGTGGTCCAGAATGTAAGCACAAGTACAAGGAAATAATGGTAACAGAGTTAATGACATGGCCGTGGTTTCACAGTTTACAAGAAGCTTTTACCGATGATCATATTTGAGCCTCACAAAAATCCTCTGAGGGAGGCAGAACAGGCTCTCTTGTCTTACAAATGAAACGGCTGGGGTTCAGAAGCTTGCTCCATAAGCTGGTATAAATTCAAATTATAGAGTGTTATAACCTTAGGATGTCCAATGTAATCCCCCCAGCAACTACTAAGAAAACAGCTACAGAATATACACAAAAGGAAATGAGGAGGGAACTAAAACATTTCAGTACAAAAAGCAAACACCGCAGAAAAATGAGGGACAGGAAAAGCTCTACGGTATACTGAAAACACACCCCAGCTTGTGACGGCGGTCTCTCCTTAGCGGCAAGCAGTCTCTTCAAATGGAAACGGTGGACCTCTCTAGTCACAAGACAGAGACTGGCAGGATGGGTAAAGAAAACACGCTCCAACACTACGCTGTCTACAAGAGACTACTCACTTTAGGTCTACTAAGACACAAAGAGGTCGAAGGTGACAGGCTGAAAAGAGAGACTCCACGCAAACAGTAACCAAGGGTGTAAGGGTGGCTGTACTGACTACACTGAGTAAAACAGAGTTTAAATTTGTTTTTTTTTAGTGTTTATTTTCGAGAGAGATGGGGAGAGAGAGAGAAGGAGCGACAGAATGCGAGTGGGAGTGGGGCAGAGAGAGAAGACAGGGAGACACAGAACCTGAAGCAGGCTCCAGGCTCTGAGCTGTCAGCACAGAGCCCGATGTGGGGCTCGAACCCACGCACTGCGAGATCATGACCTGAGCTGAAGTCAGACGCTTAACTGACTGAGCCACCCAGGCGCCCCAAGCAAAACAGACTTTAAATCAAAAAGTTTACAAGACAGCAAGAAAGTCGTTATATATTAATAAAAGGCCAATAACACCAAGAAGATGCAAGCACAGACACGTCTGTGTATAATAACACGCCAGCAAAATAGAAGAAGGAAATGTTGACAGAACTGGAGGGTTCGCTTGGAGACGTCAGTACCCTGTTCTTAATAATAGACCGAAGACTCAGAGAGAAGACGAGGACATCAAAAACTAACACACCACAATAAACCAACTCGATCTAACAGTCCACAGCAAAACACTACCCAACAACAGAATACACGTTCTTCCTAAGTGGATGTGGCCCATGCTCCAGAAAAGACTAAAATAAGGCCACATATGAAGTCTCAACAGATTCACAAAAATAGATATTATACAGAGTGTCTTCTCTGACCATGACTGGATGAAGTTAAAAATTGGTATCAGGAAGAAAACGGAAAAATTCACCAACTTGTGGAAACTGAGCAACACACTGGTCAGGAGCCCATAGGTCGAAGAAGAAATCACACGGAGAATTAGAGAGTATCTGGAGACAGAGGAGAATGCAAACAACATACCTAAACTTACAGGATGCAGCAAACGTAGCGCAAAGAAGGAAACGTGTAGCTTAGAATAAAAAAGGAAGAGCCCGTATCAACCACTGCGCTTTACGCCTTGCACTAGAAAGAGAACAAATTAAAACCAGAAGGAAAGAAATAATAAAGATTAGGACAGTGATAAATGAAATAGAAAAGCAATAGAGAAAACCAAGGAAACCAAAAGTCGGTGCTTTGAAACGATAAATAAAATCGACAAATCTTTAACTCAGTTACCTAAGGAAAAAAGAAGACTCAAATTACTAAACACATTGATGAATGTTTGGACGTTACTACTGATTCTACAGAAATAAAAAAGATTAGAAGAGAACACCATGAGGGGTACCTGGGTGGCTCAGTCAGTTAAGCGTCCAGCTCTTGATTTCGGCTCAGGTCACGGTCTCACGGTTCATGGGATCAAGCCCCACATTGGGCTCTATGCTGATAGGAAGGAGCCTGGAGCCTGCTTTGGATTCTGTGTTCTGTCTCTCTTCTCTCTCTGCCCCTCCCCTGCTCACATTGTCTCTCTCTCTGTCTCTCTCAAAAATAAACATTAAAAAAAATCAAAGTAAATAACTAAACTTAAAAAAAAACCCACTATGAACAAATGTACACCAACAGATTAGGTAACCCAGATGAAATGGACAAATTCCTAGAGACTTCATGAAAGTTAAAAAAAATTATGCAGCAAAAGACAGGGGGTTAATATCCAAGATATATAGAGAACTTCTAAAACTCAACAACTAAAAAAATAAAAACCTAATTCAAAAATAGAGGACTTGAACAGACATTTCTCCAAAGAAGATACACAACTGGCCAACGTGAAAAGATGCCCCACATAACAAAACTACACTGAGGAACCACCTTGTATCAGCCATGAGGACCGCTACTGTCCAAGAGAGAGAAAACAGTAAGTGTCGGTGAGCAGGTGGAGAGACTGGAACCCTCGGGTGCTGTCAGCGGGAACGTAAATGGGTACAGCCACCGCGGAAAAAAGTTATGGAATTCAGCAATTCCAGTCCTGCTGTAGACACAAAAGGACCGAAAGCGGGGTCTCAAAGATGCACTTGTACACACACCTTCACAGGCAGCATTGTTCACAACAGCCAACGATGGAAAGAAGCGCCCGTCACCAAAACACGGACAGCAAACTGCAGTACGTACGCAAAATGGAGTAGCACTCGGCCTTAAAATGGAAAGAAATTCGGACAAACCTACGACATGGACGAACCTCAAGGACATCATTCTAAGTGAAATAAGCCAGTTGCAAAAAAGACAAATGGTGTCACTTTTACAAGGCCCCCGGGGAGTCAAATCCAGAGACTTGAAGTAGAATGGTGGTGGCCAGGGGCTGGGAGGAGGGAGTTCTGAAGAATTACTACTTAAGGGGGTGGGGTTTCGGTTTTCCACGAGGAGCAAAGTTCTGGAGGCGGATGGTGGGGATGGTCCCACAACAATGTGAATGTATTAACACCAGTGAAAGGTACACTCAGAAATGGTTAAGACAGCAAATTTTATGTGATGGGTATTTTGCCACCATTTTTTAAAAACTGAGAGAAAGAAAAGAAAGCCTGTTCAGGGTCATACGACTAGGAAGTGGAGGGCAGAGACCAGAAGGCAGGTTGTTTGACCCCAAAACTGGTGTTGCTGCCATGGCAACGGGACACTCTCAAATGCCCCCCATGCATTCCTTCCACGACCCTGCATCAGGCCTTTCTCCGCAGAGCCTGGTATCACTTGTTAAGCAACAGAAGAGTGTTCTGATCGGCCGGGTCACACAGAGCAACGGGAAGCCACAGCCGGAGTCCGTCTATTTCCGGTCTAGGAAACTGAGGCCGTCTTGGCACCACGTCCATCAGCGATTGATGTCCGCTGGTAGGGAGGTGTGTGCGAGTCTCCGAAGGTCCTGCTAAAACACCAGAGCTATCGCGTCCAAGGACTGGGGCAGCGGGACGAAGCGGGCTACCGAGGAAGAAGGGTTGAGGCCCAGCCTCCCTACGCCCTCTGAGCGGACCGATCAGGACGTGGGCTCCAGAGCCAAGGCCACCGCTGAGAGGAACGGCAGCAGGTCAGCTGCACAACAGGGATGAGGAAACACCTGCGTCTTCTCAGTCCCTGACTAGAAGGGGCAAATGAGGTGATGGCACAGGGCAACTGCCAGACAAAACCGGGTCTGTTATCTGGGGATGAGCCTTAAAAATTGAACCCCCTTGGTGAATATAGTTTTCTAGTTTTCACTGCTGCCAGGAACCACCGACAGAAAGCCAGATAGAGGCCGGAGAGAGAGGCGGCTTCCGGGCCTAGCACACTGCTGGTGACTCTCGGCTTGGGAGTTTCCAGATCGTGGCTGGGGAAGGGGTCAGTGATGAGAAAAGGAAAGGAGAAGGGGAAAATGCAGTCAGGCGAAGTAGCCCCCAAACCACCCTTCAACCCAGCCGCTGACTTCTCAGGGGTTCTCGGCCAGCGGTGATTTGCCCCCCAGGGGTCATCTGGCTGCGCGCAGCCTTGACGGTGACTCTCACGACTGAGGGGTGGGCGCTACCGGAATCTAGAGGGCCGTCAGGGGTTCTGCTTATCCCCCTACAACGCCCAGGACAGCCCCCGCCAGCACAGGGGGGAATGCCCTTCTGGCTTTGCCAGGACTCTGGGGAGGCAAGTCTCTGGCTAAGATGCCCCGCTGGCCGTGCCAAAGGAACGGCTCTATGTGGAAAGAAACGCGGCCTCACTTGCTGATTCTTCCTTTCATAAGGAGCACGTCAGGCACCTCTAGCTTCACGCTTTTTTACCCAGACCACCACCAGGGCGTTTTGAGCTCCATGTTGCCGCACTACTCCCCCCAGGCAGCCCCTGGGGTCGCCTTGTCACACGGCCGGCCAGAGGCCCGCAAGACCCCAGCGGTCAAGCGGCCGCTCCCGCCCTTGCCTCTCCTGCCAGAGCTCCACCTGCTGTCCCCCAGCAGGCTCATCAGACTCAAGGTTATTTTTAAACCAGTAAGCACTCTGGCCTCTGTCAGCTGCAATGAGCCAACAGGCCTCTCGTCCCATTTTCTGCCCCCCACTCTAAAACACCCTGAAAGGAACAAGACAGGCAGCGTGGCCTGGCTTCTGGCGTGAGAGCTCTGTGTGCCCCTGTGCAGCTGAGTGTGGATGAGTGTCCGCATCCCACACGGACATCGTCACAAATGAAGGCACCGACACACGCAGAGTGCGCACAACAGCGCCTGCACGTCGGCAAGGCCCAGGGGGAGAGCCCGTGGTCGTCACCGTCGATGCCCACGAGGGACCCAGCCCGTGTGGAGGCCAGAGCTGCAGACAAGCAGATTTTCGGCGGCTGGCAGAGCCCAGGCGTGCCGCCGGCCCGTGTAACACTATACGTACCTTGCTCCCCGTGAGCTGTGCGAGGTGAGGTTTCAGCTCTTCTCCGATTACGGAATAAATCGCCACTAAGCAAAACACGCTGGCCTTACGCACACTGCTTTCGGTGTTGTCATAACCCTACAGAGGCAGAAGGGACACGAAAAGGAAATGAGATCAAAGATCTGCTTCACAGTCAATGTCTCGTCAAGGTTTCCGCAAATACCCTCACAGTTCAACCCTGGACTTGGCGCTAACAACCACCACACACCCGAGACTGGCCACCGGACCCAGGAGCTTGCGCTCCAGGGAGGTCAAAACTCAACAGTGTCGAGAGTGAACTGGTTCCTGCAGGTGGAGAAGGGAGGCTGGCAAGTAACAGCGGCCCTCCCCTGCACTATGTGCTGCTCATTGTGAGCTGCCACAGTAGCGCCACGCAAGACACGTGGGAGAGAGAGTGAGAGAGAGTGAGAGAGAGTGAGAGAGAGTGAGAGAAAGAGAGAGAGAGAGAGAGAGGGAGATGGGAAAGGAAATTAAGGGGGAAAACAGCTCGGTTCTTTCATATTCTCCCAATGGCAAAGCAAACCTTGTGTGAAATGAGAACTTTCAAGAAAAATGAGGACTGCCTCCCTCGCTCTTGTGGGCAGAACCTCTGTACCACCCAAAGCGGGTGGGGGACATCCGGGCCCGGAGCCTGACACCTGTGCACTCTACGTCCGGGCCTCCGTCTACCTGTCGGCCTGGCCCCTGCCCCACTCAAATGAGACAGCCTGCTGCTCTCCAAACAGCCCTGAGGATGCTTCAGGCTTGCTCTTTCCTCTGCCTGGAATAATCCAGTCTCAACAGTCTGTACTTAAATTCCCAAGCCGAGCGCTCGGCGAGCAGCAGCATTTCTTAAACGTGAAGCTGATTTCTCTCCACCTTCCCCACTGAAGTCGCTCTCTCGCTCCAGGGCCCGACTCTAAACCAGCTCTTCTGTGAAATCACCTCTTGGCCTCTGATCCAGGAAACCCCCACTCGCACCTACAGTAACTCTGCAGGTGGTGCCCCCATCTCCGGCTGCCTGCACAGCTGTACTGTGCCCCACGCAGATTGAAACACCCCTGTGGTTATGCCGTGGAGCAGCAAAACATCTTCTTGAGTCTAACTCAGTGCCTTGCACTTAGAAGGCTCTCCACGAATATGTGCTGGATAGCAGAGCAAGGACCATTATCTGATTTTGCACTCCCACGGCCCACCCTGCCCAGGGCTGGGGCCCACAGATGTGCAATAAGGGTTTGTTGAAGGCATGAACAACGACGACCAGGAAAGGACCAAAATATATTTACAGTAAACACAAAGTTCACTTTGGAAGCCATAGCTCTAGGCTGCCGGGAAGCTCTTCCGGCCACATTCAGGGGAGGGTGCATTAGAAAACAAGAGAGAGAGGGCCCGAGGTGTCCGAGCCACACAGCTGCGCGGGTTCTGAAACAGGTTGGCGCCTGCCCTTTCCCACCCGCCCCTCAAGTGAGTGAGGGGGGCAAAGCCCCAGGCACCCAGGTTGGGCAGCACCGGCTCCCGGCCTCACAGCCCCGCACGACAGGCACCGGCCAGCTGCCCAGGGGGCCCACCTGCAGCAAGCCCGGGATGATGTCGGCGAGGAGCTGCAGCAAGGACTCCTTGGCGATCCTCTCGACGACTTTGGTCTGCATCTTGATGGCAGCGAGGTTGATGGGGTAGTCGGCCGTCTGGATGATGGGGCAGAGGACTTTGATACACTGCTCCGGGTGGATGGAGCTGGCCAGCGTGGATGCCGCCTCCTCGGCTGCTCTCACCACCTGAAACACCAGTTCCCCCAAACAAGTGAGCTCCCGGAGACCAAGCGATCTGCTGCCTAACTTCGGGAGCCAGAGGACGCTCGTCACCCAACGCCTTGGGCTAATTCTGTACAAGACAGTTAAGAGCAAGGTGGTCTTGAGGGTGATTCTCCAGTGGATGGGGGGCACAGGAAGGTAGGAATGCGGCTTCCACCAGAAACCCTGGAGAAGCGGTTCTCCAAGTGTTACCTCCCCTGCAGCAGCATCGACATTCCTGAGAACGTGCTAGAAATGCAACTTCCCCGGCCCCACCGTGGACCCGCCGAATCAGAGACTGGGGCCTGGAGCCCAGCAAGCTGTCTTAATAAGCGCTTCAGAGGGTCTCCCGTATAGGAAAATCTGAGAGTCTCTGTCCTAGAAGATTAGGACCTAAAAAAGAAGTAAACATAAATGCTTTCCAGCAGCTTGGGGTACAGCTGCAATTAAAGTAACTGGAGAGAAGCCGCGAAGAAAAATCAGTGGCTTCAAGACTTATGATTCCATGAAGGCACCTAATCGTAAAGCAGTTGGAGAGGCGTTTCCAAGGAAAGCCTCCGTGCCCGTATCACCACACCCTGTACTCTGAAGGAAGTGCACAAAATGGCCACCTCACAGCCAAAGGAGCCGCCTCTGACCTGTGAAGAGATCCCAGCGCACTAGGATGCACTGAGTCCTTGTGCTAGAGGTCACCAGGAGCGCCACAAAAAGAGCCTCTGTAATAAAGATAGAAGCTAAATGCAAAACCCGGCAAGAAACAAAGAGTGCGGGCTGCAGCCTTTGAGGGCTGGAAGCAAACGCCAGCCGTGCCATTCGCAAGTGCTAACCCCCATCTCCTCTTCTGTAAAATGGGGATACCTTACAGAAATCATTTGTTAAGTGGTGTCAAAATGTACTCCATGTTCAGTAAATGATAGTTACTCCTATTCATGACACAGGGGTATGTATATAAATGATAAGCAAAAAACACCAGGCTGTAAACATGTACGTATTTTTTTTTTAGTTAGAATTAAAAAAAATTTTTTTATATATTTTTGAGAGACAGAAAGAGAGGCAGAATAGGAGTGGGGGGAGGGACAGAGAGAGGGAGACACAGAACCCCAAGTAGGCTCCAGGCTCCGAGCTGTCAGCACAGAGTCCGACGCGGGGCTCGAACTCACAAAACGTGAGATCATGACCTGAGCTGAAGTCGGAGGTTTAACCAACTGACTCAGGCGTCCCTGTGTATGCATTTTCTCATAAAATATAATAAAAATCTAATCTTTTTTTTCCGACTGCCAGCCCTGGACTGTTCATTCCACCCAGATTCTTCTCTGTTTTGTGTTCTGCTACTGAAACAAGGCAGCTGTCTTTAACTCAGCAACAAGGCCAAGGTTACCAGCTTAAGCCTCAATCTCCCCAGTGCTCTTGTGATTGAAGCAGACTGACCAACAAAAACAGCAGACAGACTACCTGGAAAGCATCTTCTAGATGTGGGCAAGGGTGGGCTGAAACATCCATGCATACAAGCCAGGGAGGACAGGACACACAGAGGGGCACCCTGAGCCATATGGTGGACACATGGACTGCAGGAGGTCACTGTAGCGCCCTGAGCACTGTGCCCTCACTCTAGGAGGGACAGGGCCAGATCTTGGCGCTCTGCAGTCATGGCTTTGGGACAAGACGCAGCTCAGTTTAGCTGGGGCTACGCCACCCTGTGAACAGGACTGACTTCCCGGAGTGTGCCTCATCGGTCCGTGTGTCTGCTCTGCTCTCTGAACGGTAAAGTGGACTCCTTCCAACACAAGGGGCTGAATTCATCTCACTTAAAAATCATTATATTTGGGGCGCCTGGGTGGCTCAGTCTGTTAAGCAGCCGACACTTGACTTCAGCTCAGGTCATGATCTTATAGTTCGTGAGGTCAAGCCCCACACTGGGCTCTGTTCTGACAGTGCAGAGCCTGCTTGGGATTCTGTCTCCCCCTCTCTCTTCCCCTCCCCTGCTCACTCTGTCTCTCTCAAAATAAATACAAATAGACGTAAAACAAAAGCCCGGTATTTTTAAGGCTGGTCATGCTGCACTGACAGTTGGAGGTTCTCCCTGGGCTGCTCATGTCCCAACACTGGGATTTAACGCGGTGGAAAACCTGGAAGGAAACGCACAAAACGTTCCCTCATTATCTCAGGGGGTTAGATTATGGGTAATTTTATTCTCCTCTTCGTATTTTTTATAATGAAAAGTTGCCATGGAAAACTGCCATAGTAATGTTCCTGGTAAGGAAAACGTATTCATAAAAATTTAAGTGTGCTTTTGAGATCAGGGAAAGTTCACAGTTCAGCCCTTGGTTCACGGAGAGCAGGGAGGACAGGGTGCTGCACCCCAGAAGCAGGCGGCCCTTCGTCACCCGGGATAGAATTTGAGCCCCGGCATGGAGTTGCACTCCCTGGGTGTTGGCTGAGAACGTTACTATGATTATAATAATCGCTATTTCTGCTTACTGCCTACTGATTCCATAAGCTCTCTTCTGCTATTTAGGAAACTCGCTGTCTCTCACACAAACGTGGCTGACCACGTCCCCTCCGTGAACAGCGGGATGACCTCTCCTTCTCAACTTGTAGAGCTTTTCTCTATTGCTGGCACTTCATGTCGGTTGCTTTACATTCTTGCCAACGTTTCCACATGTGTCTCCTTCCCAAACAGGCTGCAAGGCCTAGCAGACGGGCTGGGGCACTTGTTTTGTACCCCAAAGTACACAGCAAGGCTGGGCATTTACCAGGTGTTCAACATTTACAGATGGACTGAACTTCATTCTGTCTGCCTGAGGGTATGTTCCTACTTAAAGCCCTGCCTTCCTGAACTCTCAAAGTTCTCTATTTCTTGTTAGAGGCCTCTTGAACTTTCCCTGGAAGGACCTGCTATCTCCTTAAGGCACTGACCGAAGTCTAGGGGTCTCATTAAGTAAGCTCACACCCCCGTCACCTGACCAGCGCGCTTGTGGACACAATGCACACACCTGTGGGGGCATACATCGGGATTATGGATTAATCCTTCCGAGAGTCAAAATGGGGACCAGGATCAGCATGGTTCAAGAGTAAATACTGTGTACACGAGAGAAGACAGGGGTCAAGAATATCCAAGATTTGTCTGCGCTTATTATATACGTGCAAAGTCAGGCTTGGGTGCAAAGCACTGCAGAGAGCTCATTTTACTTTCAAAGAATCCTATTCTCGGTAAGCCCGTAAGAGCAATTTTTCTTTTATACCATGACTGGCCCTGCCTTGTTGTGTACAACATGCACACACTCATTCACTCCTGTGTGTCAGGGACTGAGCTCAGGGCAGGCCACAGGAGTGAGGATGATGGGTGGGCCTGGACCCCGTCCTCACGGTGCTGGGCAGGATGGGCTGGTCTGTGCAGAGGGTGCAAAGCCCCAGGAAGTGGGGAACCAAGCCCAGAAGCAGGTGGGGGCGGATGGCGGGGAGCTGAGGAGTGTCTGCAGTTGGCCGGGGTTAGATGAAAGGAAGCTGATGAGGGGCGGAACACAGAATGAATGTCTGCACAAGGCTTCCCAGGTGTTCTTCGGGGGTTCCTCTGGCTCAAGGGCCCTTGGCCATGCGAAGCCAGCCCTCCCCGCCTCTGCCTCCTCCACAGAAAGTGGGTGGTTGGGGTCAGCCAGGCAGCAAGCATGACCTCAGTCCCACTGATGGCATCGCCCTCCACTTCACATACACACGAGAATGAGGCTACTTAAAGAAAACTCACTGTGATTTTTTTTTTTCTTGCCAACTCAATCTGCTGCAAAGTGCAGCTTTTCCACACAGGTCCCCTAAAAGCAGAGTACTGTTTGGCCCTGGTGTGCATGCATAACCTTTAACCTTTCACCCCAAGAAAGGCAGCTCCAAGTTGCATGGGCACAGACAAATCGGAGTTCAATCCTCTGGCAAGACACTCCATCGGTCTGAACCTCGATTTTTAAACTAGGGAATTAAGGGGCGCCTGGGTGGCTCAGTCGGTTGGACATCCGACTTCGGCCTGGGTCATGATTTCATGACTCGTCGGTTCGAGCCCCACGTTGGGCCCTGTGCTGCCAGCTCGGAGCCTGGAACCTGTTTCGGATTCTGTGTCTCCCTATCTCTCTGCTGTTCCCCCACTCATTCCCTGTCTCTCTCTCCCTCAAAAATAAATAAAAACATTAAAAAATTTTTTTAAGATAGGGATTTAAAAAATACCCACTTTGGTGGATTTTGGAGTAAGAGAGAGAACATACAAATAAAGGATTGCTGGTAAGGGGTCACAGACAGACACAGCGGAGAACCAGGGAGTTCTGAGTCTGCCAGAGAGCAGAGCTCCCTCCAGGGGACCCCTCCGACCCAGTCTAGTGCCCACATCAAGTGGGTCTGCCCTCGCCAAGAATCCCTCTAAACAGCTCTCCTGGAACCAGGCCCACATTTGTTGATACGGCATGGAAGGCCAGCATGGCCTGGCCCCTGCCTGTGTCCAGCTGTGGTTTTGCCCTCCCTCTCCCCCTGTGCCCTGGTCACACTGAGCTGAGGGCAGGCCCTGCACATGCCCCGCCGGCCCTTTTGCGGAGCCCGACTAGCCCCTCCGTTCCTCCTCAGCGTCGCTCACTGGTGCTCCTCACCTGGCCGGGCCAGGTCTCCTTCAGGACCCGCTTGCTGCGGTACGACTCTGGGGAGCCCTGTGTGCACACCTCCACCACTGCACTCAACACCTTGCTCAAATGGTCTCTCCCACTAGACAGAAAATTCCTCAAAGGCAAGCTCCCACCTCAGCTACCTTTCTATACCCCCTACGCCTGGCACAGCGTCCAATATACATGAGCTACTCAAGAAAGGTTTGTCAAGCACATTCTCCCGTGTATATATCTTGTAAAATGTTCGTGACTGGCAAAGTCACCTCTGGGGCATGCCTCACTGAACTGCACGGACGCGTTCCACCTGAGGAGCTAGCCCAGAAACTGAGGGCGAAGCAAGATATCTGCAGG